GCTGTGTGCTCTGTAAAGATCACTCCCAAGAGCATCTCGGTTCTGGGCTAGAACACACTGTGTCCCTGGGCGTCAGAATGAATTCCACAGCTGTGGGGTTTCGCTGCTGCTGCTGCTTCTTTTAATACACTCAGCTTAAAATAAATAAAGACATACAGGCATTTTGTGGCCAGAAAGGCAGCTATAACTGACTGAGAGTACAATCTTCCCCTAGAGTCACGCTGCCTGGGTTGAATCTCGTCACCATGACTTGTTCAGATGTGACCTTATCACTTCTTGGCCTTTTGGCTAAGATCAAGTGTAGTATCAGATGTGACCTTGGCCACTTTGTTCATTTGTTTATTTAGTGCATCTTCTTGGAGGATCTGTTCTGTAAGCGTTGATCTAGGAGTGGAGTATTTAAAAATAAGACAAAAATTCCCGCCTGCGTGGAATTGACATGCTAGGGGAGGAGAAGATGCATCTGAGCAAGTAAACCTTGGCGAGTCTAGGTGTTGTGCACTGAGCCTTGGCCGAGGAGACCCCAGAACCCACTGCCGTCGAGTGGATTGGGACTCCTAGGGGCCCTAGATAGGGGTTCTGAGTCTTCTTCAATCTTTACAGAAACAGATAGCCTTCTCCCCCACCCCCACTCCCCAGAGCAGCTGGTGGTCGGTGGGTTTGAACTGCCAGCTTTGCTGTTGGAAGTATCACGCTTCTCCGGCAGTCCCGTGGGAACACAGAAGAGCGGTTTTGGACCATTGCTGGGTAGGGGCTTCGTGAAAGCTGGCATTTGACTCCAGACCTAGGAAGGCTATGGTGAGAGTGTTCCAGGAAGGGGGAACCCAAGTGCCAAGGTCCTGGGGCAGGAGTGTGCTGGCGTCAGGGAGGGTCTCCTACCCTGGGTTCCTGGGGCAGAGTCCCAGCCCTTCACAGTGCTTGGAGGAAGAGGCAGAGGAGGGTCCAGTGAGGAAGGAAGTGGGGGTGGGGGAGGAGAGGCTCTTGTCTCCTGCAAGGTCTGGACGGAGTTCCTGGGGCTGTTCCAAAGCTCTGTGGCAGGTCCCGCAAGGACGACTCTCAGTGTCCCTGTAGAAACAGGTTTAAAACAGACCCGGCTCTCCTGTGTTCAGGGGACAGATGGCACAGCCACACCCTCTGTCACACAAAGAAAGATCTGAGGTCCACGGAGGGTCCAGGTGCTCCCCGAGTGGGCAGGACCGTAGGTGGGCCTGGGTGTTGTCCCAGGAAGCAGAAAGCAGCCATGCACACTCAGCGCTTGCAGGCAGCCGCCATGCTTTCAGCGCCACACGCTTGAGGACAGGCAGTAGCCACTCACACCCACACCCCAACCCTCCCGTGCGGCCTGCGCCCTCTGTGTATACCGGTCCTACCCACTCGGGGTCTCCAGGGACACAAGGTGGACGGATCTGCACAGGGCTGGAAGGGCACTTGCCTTCTGTCCCCTGACCCTGAGGGGTCAGATCCAGCCGGCTGGGGGCTTGGCTGCACTGTGGCCCTGAGAACGAGCTCTGGGGCAAGGACGACTGTCCCCATTTCACGGGGCCAAAGTTACACAGCTACTCAGATGCTTCCCTTCTCCACACTCCTCCCTGCTGCCGCTGCTGAGCCGCAGAAAGACACCCTGGTTTCTGAGTTTGAGAGCGGGATCTCCACCGTGTGGGCTTGGAGACCTGCCTCCCCGAATCTGAATCCCAGCCCCCCCCCCCCCCCCCCCCCCCCCGCCCCCGCTCTGCTGGTGTGAATGTGGGCGAATTCTATGCCACTCCAGTGCCTCTGGTTCCTTTTTGGTGAAACAAGACTAGTCGAAGTTGGAAGGCCGAATGATTGAAAGGAGGCAGATCTCTCAGAGCATGTCTGGGCCCATGGGACGCCCGCATTCTATGGTTAATATGGTTGTCATGTTGTGCCGTGTTGTTTAGCACCTGGTGGCATCGTGGGTTACATGTTGGGTTACGAACCGTAAGGTCAGCAGCTTGAAACCACCAGCCGCTCCTCTGGAGAAAGATGAGGCTTTCTACTCCTATGAAGAGCAACAGTCTCAGAAACCGACAGGGGCAGGTCTACCCTGTCCCATGGGGTCACCTTGAGCCGGGATCTCCTCTATGGCAGGAGCAGATGACTTAGCGTCAGATCTGCCTGCAGCCTGCGTTGCTGCTCCAGCACTCTGCCCCTGGGGCCTGTCCAGGCCTCACTGTGTCACAGGCTCCAGGGGCCTTTGGGGGCCTCCTAGAGGCATATGGGAACCTCTGGGGTGCATGAGGCCCCAGATCCTTCAGGTCGGGGCAGCCCACTTCCTCTCCAGCCCCAACTCCTTTCACCCCGGGCTCTGCTCCTCTGTGCAGATTTTAACGAGAACGGCTTCATCGACGAGGAGGATCTGCAGCGTATTGTCCTCCGGCTGCTGAACAGCGACGATGTGTCTGAGGACTTGCTCAACGACCTAACACGTCATGTGTGTACCTGCGGGGCGATGGGGGTGGGGATGGGGGTGTCAGGCTCCTTCCCCGCCCTTCTAGAGGTCAGGCTACCATCTCGGGAGAAGATGGCTCAGACTCAGGGCCCAGGCCAAAGCAGATGGCATATAGGTCTCTGGCACACACATGCCTTGGGCCCTAGGGAAAGGCAGGCAGGGCAAGAGATGGGCGCAGAGCTGGAGAGAATGACTTCTGGATTCTGTGTCCTCCCTGTAAGCCGGTGATTCCCTTCCAGGGATCCCATGCATGTGCCCCAACCCGCCCCTTGCAAGGGTATGCGCCCCCCACCCACCCCCGGCCAACAGTGTGGTCCATCCAGGCAGAGGGGCTAAGGGAGCATTACCAAATGGATGCATCATCACTCCCCCCACCACAATACAATACCCAGGAGCCCCCGAGGGAGAGTCCAATGTGAGACAGAACCGGACACCCCTTCAGGAACCCAAGACACCGCCTGGTTCCACTTGTGGTCGACCGGGCAACCTCCAAGTGCTTTTGGACAGAAGGGAGACTCAGCAGTAAAGATAAAACCATGAGTGCTCTGTGGAGGGGGGTGTCATTGGCGACCAGGCCCCTCGCAGTGCAAAGCCCCGGGGACTGAGTGGCTGGGAGTAGGGGATGGGAACTGTATAATGGATCCAAACATAGCGTCTCCCAGTTCTGGACCTTGGGCAGTCATTGTTTGGGTTTTTTTGAGGTTTTGGGGTGCAATCTGTTTCATGCCCCTCTCCCAACTCCTGGCAGCTTGACTTGCAACCACAGTGTCATGTGGTATCCCTTGTCCATCTCCCAGTTTGGGGACATCTTCTCTTTCATGAAGACATCAGCCAGTTAGGGCTAGGACCCACCTCTTCCAAGATGACCTCATGCTCACACGGTATCTTCCAAGACTCCATTTCCATCCCGGGGCAATAGTCACAGGTCTAAGGGTTAGGACTGGTGCATAGCTTTGGGCGGAACACGATTCCAACCTGAATGGGCTTAGTTCCCAGTGTCCCTGTTCTCCCTTCCAAGTCTGTGCTGGAGACACTGAGAAGGATCTTCCCGCGAGGGGGCCCAGCCCACGAGCTTCCGAACATTCATGCCAATGCCCTCGTCTCTCCCAACTTCAGCTGTGGTCTGGGGAATGGGGAGAAAGTTCCTGCCTCACACAAGATCAGAAAGACGGAAGGGGCTGAGATGAGTGTTAGCCTCTGGCAGAAATCCTGGCACATGGTAGCCACCCAATCAATGTATGGTAATCGTCTCCACACCCCCTGCATGCCCCCCCTCACTGCCTGCCTCCTGTCCCATCTCTACCGGGCAGGTGCTGAGCGAATCTGACCTGGACAATGACAACATGCTGTCTTTCTCAGAGTTTGAACATGCCATGTCCAAGTCTCCTGATTTCATGAAGTAAGGAGGTCTGGGTGTGGGGGGGGAGGGGCTGGAGGGGGATGGTGGGGGCAGGGGGTGCAGATACACTCTCCCATCTTCCCTCAGCCAGAAACTCTCAAAAGTTTGAGGAAATGCCTTGTGTGGTGGTGGGTGTTGCTCAGCCCAGAGTCCAAAGGTCGGGCAGGTGTAAGCCAGGTGCTGGGTCCAGGAGACATGCTCCACTCCGGGCTCTTGCTGGTGATGAGCTCGTACCCCCTGCTTCTCAGAGGGCACGTTTTCTATGCAGCAGGATGCCATTTCAGGGGCTCCTTTCCACAGTTACTCCCGGGTGAGTCCCATCAGTATCTCCCCGCATCCTTACCAGACCCGTGCCAGGAAAGCTCCTTTGGTGGGAGTTTATGGTGCAAACAAACATATAACCCTCCGCCCAAATATACTAGTCTATTTTCCACCCCTAGATGGTATCTTATTCATGCACTTATGACCTGGGGCCTCTGGTGGGATGTTCCCAGTAGGCATGGGCCTCCTCCTCATGTGCTGGAGACATCCTTCCATTCCTTACACCCATTGCAAATAATAGTCACCAAGATAATCATTAAAAAGAGTGTGGTCCAATGCAGGCCCATTACTAAAGTCAGATCCTAATCTCATTCCACTCCTGTTGCTTAGCAGCCAGGGCCCTCCAAAACGGGCCTGTGGCCACAGGCAGATGAAATCCAGAACTAGAGTATATCACATAAGGAGTTCTGGCTGGAAGGGACATATTAATGAAGTAGAGCTCAGACCCTGGGAAGGGGGGATTTGCACAGGGCTTTGAAGGAGCCCTGGTGGTGCGGTGGTGAAGCGCTCAGATCCCAGCATGGAAACCCTCCGGGGCCAGTCTGCTCTGCCCCATGGGGGCGCTATGAGTCAGGATGCGCGTGACGGCAAAGAATCTGATTTGGGTTTTTTGGTGTGAAAGATACTGGTAGTGGAATCCAGAGAAGAACTCAGATGCT